TGAAGTAATAAATAATTCCTAATTTTTTAAGTAATAAAAAAATGAGAAAATTAAACCGAAGATAATTTTCTAATTATAAAACAAATCGAATTTAAAACTCAACAAATATTTATTAGAGTAACAATTTTATTCTTATACGACTGGTTTTATTTCAAGTGATGCTTATTTTGTAATGAGATGTTCTATATTCCGTAGATCAATTATCCGGGAATATTTTTTAAAAATAGGTAGAGGTATAAATAAAGTAAGTTACTCTACTGTTATGTTTTAGGATATCCTCTTATATTAGGCCTCGATTAAAACTTTTAAACTTAGGCGAGTGTAAGTTCCAGCTCCCTACGTGCTAATTGTTAGGAACCACTTCAAGATACTTATTTAATTTATTTATTGGTTATAATATTACTTAATTATATTGTGTATTAAATTCTATATTACTATTATTTTTATTAGTTATAGTTGTGTAAATTCAAACGTATTATACAAAAAAAAAAAAAAATTAACATACCGCCTACTATAAAATACATTTTACATGTTATTACTCCTAAATTCTTCTTTACTGTTTATTACCTAGCTCAATGTTAGTGTAGGTCGTTGGAATTTACATGCCTCACTTATCTACAACCATGTACGAGTAGGAATACTTATAATAGTTACTACATAATATAAGCCATTTTTGTCTTGCTCTATACCTATTTGTGTAGTCAGGGCACTCCTCTGCGCAAAAGATTTCAACTTGTCAAGTTAATCTCTAAAACGACTATCATATATACAATAATTATAGTTTTTTAATTTATCATTTAGGGTAAATATAGGCGCGAAGAACAACCATGGACGTTTAGACCGTCAACCATATCATAGCAGGGTCAGCTATTAGCCGGTTCACACGCCAAGTTTATGATTTGTGAGTTAATTGGCAGATATCATCAAGTGCTGTATAATTATTTCATAGATCCTAACCTAACCTAACTTAAACCGTCGTTTGACTTCGCGTGCAACGTGTGTTGTATTCTATGCTACGTCGGGGCTTTCTATAAAAAGATGTAATTGACCATGTTAATCCAAATTATTAATAAAATTATAATAGCCATTTGATCTCTAGTGTGAGAGCCTCGGATCGTATGTATAAATATATTTGTTGATATTAATATCAGCGCTCTGTATTGTTATGTTTGAATAAATCCTAAGTAGGAATTAATTTTCAGACAAAATAAATAAACTTTTTGTCCAATAGTTAAAATAAAAAAGGTAAAACTCATATTTTTATACATAGTTGGTCCATATGTGATCCAAAATGTATAAAAAATTATAATATTAATTATTTCACAAACATAAAAGTTTGAAAATATGTATTAAAAAAAAAACTAAAAACATGTCAATTAATGATGATAATGTATAAGTAAAATATTCACATAACGTCTTAAAAATAAAACAAATTAACACGGCTGGCTAAAATAAAATAATTAAAATGAACTTCTGTATGATTCATTCAAAACCACGATCTACTGATGTAACACATGATATTCCACGCAGTACCAAAAGTTTGTGTTTTTTTACAATATATTAAAACTATTAAATATTTACCTTTCTTAGTATATTCCAGAACTTAATTTACTATGAAACTTAAATGGTGATAATACATAAATGTCTGAAAATGTTACCAGTTTTTACCTTTCTTAGTATATTCCAGAACTTAATTTACTATGAAACTTAAATGGTGATAATACATAAATGTCTGAAAATGTTACCAGTTTTTATTAATTACTTATTATTATTATCTGTGCGCGTTACTCAAATGCACTCAGCACTCCACCTCTCGTCTTAAATTTTAAACTTTAATGACTTTAAAAGTAATTACTCAAAACTAGTTATCGATCAGTCAACATTTTCAGCAAATTATTTTTAATTTAAATATGTAATTAAATACATGCGTTATCGTTTAAGTTTCAAAAGTTGATAGAGCTCTGAAAAAAAAAATAGAAAGGAAAAAGATTTGAAAATTGTAAGATAACATACACTAAAATATATCCAAATAGAAAATTTAGAAAATTGCAATTATTTTAAATGAAAAACGAATGTCTATAGCCCCAATGAATCATCCTGTGTACATTATACTTAGGTACCGTATTATGTGTGTCCACTGTCCGGAAACGGACAACCGGCGTTGACATGTTCCGTTCATACAAAACGGTGACGAGGAGGTATATAAATATTTGTTTTTGTGAAAATCACTTGTCCGGCCCGTTTCAAAAATCGTTTTGTTCGCCTGTCAATATATATATATTTTTTTTTTTTTACGTTACTTCTCTATTATATCCCTTTTGCGCTTACGGTCCGAAAAAAAGAAACCACAGCCCCACCACATAAGAAGACAAAATAATAATAAACAAATAAATAAAGATGCCAACAAACGATTTAAACGCATCTCGTCCGAGGATCGATGGCCTATGGCCTATACACATACAATGTATCGGTTTATTAGTGTACTTGGGTCCCGTTTGAAAAGATGAAAAGGTATATCATATATATATATATATATATATATATATATATATATGTATTATTATTATAATACAGCGATCGGTAACGCGGACGGCCAAGCATTATATAAACGGCCCGGAGTATTGAGTATTGACAGGATTTTGATTTAAACATGACCGTTGTGCTTAATGAATATTATACATATAGCTGGCACTGTCCGCATATAGTACCGACTCGTGTTGTGTATACTTATAATATATGTATACTCACATGTCGATTTCGAACGTAGGCATCAATAAGTCAACGTGCCCTCGGTGTAAACGTTATGTAGCACCGGCTAAGCCGTCACGGCACCAACACCGCCTTGAACAATAACTTGATAAAGTAACATTATTTTTTTTCTCTCCACTCTAGACTGTTGTTTTTTTTTCTTCAGTCTTTGACGATTACATCTTCTTATAATTTTCCCGAGAAGTATAATAAGAAACTTCCCACACGTCCGACTGTACCTATATAATCGAAGTTTGGAAATCTTGAATTTATAAAAAAAACAGGTTTGTTCTTGATAAAAATAAAATTGAAAAAAAAAGTATTACACGAATTATTATTCTCTACGGGTACAATCTAATATCTCAAACGTTCAAATAACGACGGATGGAGCGTGGCGCCTTTCAATATGTTTTATTTTGTAATAAATATAAATAAACAAACAAAATGTTTTAAATGTAGGTATATCAGTACATAATATATTAGGGTCGAGACAGTCGAGTTTTGAATAAATTGAAAAAAAATACTTACGACGATGTATTCAATGCCCTTTACTAGTATAATATTTAAATTATTGTCAAGTGATAGGTATAATGGTAATTAGGGTAGATATTTTAGTAAACAAATTAGTTATAATAATTGAAGTTGATTTGGGCGAATGTTAGCATGACAGCATGAAGCACAGCGGCAGTTTCGGACTAAGCGCCAATTGTGGGTTAAGAATTAATGTTCAAATAAAACAATAATTTCAATAACTATACTGTATACATTGATTCGTTAAACCGTAAATTATTCTATTAAAAATCTGAACAATCAGTACCTTCTCAGGTTAGCAGAAAAAATCAAACTATAATTTTTACAACACTATTGTTTTTTTAAGAGTTCAATAAGCTAAAGGAACGTTATTTGATTTTTATAAAGTAAAAACCATTATCGAATCCAAAAAAGGAGTGTCAAATCTAGTTTCTCGACTACCTACGCGATCAACAGGAGTTGTGTAAACTTTAGAAATTTAAGGATAAGGTACACCATTAAATTAGGTAACCTTGTCAAATGGTCAACAATTTTCCTTAAATCCTTAATATGAAGATAATCAAATAATATATTCAAAAACGATTATATTCCTAGGTATTGAAAAACAATTAATAGTAATTATTACTCTACAAAGTACTTAAAATGGAAATAATTTGACTTAAAAGTAAAATTACGTACGATTTGGTTTAGAAATCCTAACATATATTTATGGTTTACCGCTTACCTAGTTGTCAATGTAAATTATTGGCAAAAAATGAAACCAACTACTAAATTTTAAATTAGGAGTTGACAAATTATCTGGATTTATTTTTTTTGAATCCAAGTAAAATAGTAAAACTACCGTTACACAAGTTTATCAAAAGCAGTTATTTATTATTTAATTAGATTAAAAAATAAACCTTTAATAAATCCGAATATACTCAACACAGAACACTAATGTAAATTAATAATACTTCAAACTTTAAAGTTTAGTTTAATCATAGGATTGTAGACGAAAATGAAAATAATTTGGCCTTTTTTTAAAATCGATTATAATGTAAGTAATTTTAAATGAATCAAACGCTATTGTATACATTAAATATAATTTTTTTCTTTTCTTGTTCCGGTTAATCTATGAATTTTTGCTTGGTCCCGCATGGGAATTCATAATACATGGGTAGATTATTGAAATAATATGTAAATTACAATATTTTTATTGTAGAAATAATTTTATAGCCGACCACATAACCGTGACCGGTCGGCGGTCACGTTGGTAGTTTTGTCGAAATTCCGGTAGCCCGCCGTGGTCGTCGGCCGTCCGCCGTCCTCGCATCGTGTTGGCCGGCGGCGGCGGCGGCCGAGCTCTGGTGGTATACACAAAACATACAGCGGATGCTGTGTACCATGCCGTAGTCCGTACTGTTTTTTTCCCTCCCAATCCCAATCCTACTCTTATAGCGTCTACTCGTTTGTATGTGTGTATGTATATTGTAATTTAGTACACAGCGTTTACGGGCAGCAACAACAACAACATTATAATATTTTATCGTTAAACGACGACCACCACCACCACCGCCGCCAACACCGCCACCGCCAGCAGCGAACGTGTACCAACATTGCCGACCGGCGCGCAAGTTGTCGGCACTGCCGTCGCCGCACCCCGCCGGTCCAACCCCACCGACGGCCGCCCGCCCACGATAGCCTTCAACACGATATTATTCCCATAAGGTACGCGCGCCTGCCGCAGCCGACATTCGACAACACAACAAAATGCGTACAACAACAAATACCTGTTGCTGCCGCCGTCGTCGTCGTCGTTGCGATTAAGAAAATGCATCAGAAAATCACAGCAATGCCGTCGTTTTGCCACGATTATAATAATCCGGTGAGTCTTTGATGCTTATTATTACACTATAAATAATAAAAATAATTAACGCAAACACGGCGTTCGAACACGGAACGACCGTGGACGCAGTGTGGCACAACGTTTTACAATATGGAGGTATGTGTAACACCAGAAGCTGTACAATATGGCACCGTACTCCTTATTGTGTTGTGTTCGCGTTTAGTGCGCGCAGTTCCGTCTAGATGGTTAGTCGAATAATACAATATAATATAGTATTTGTAATTTTGTCTCAGTTTACCAGACCGTCTGTTATAACGTATATTATACGCGACATCCGATCGTCAGCCCATACGCTGATGGCTAAACATGAATTTTGTCACAACGAATATAGCTGTAGTCATCAGGTAGTAGAATAGTGCGTTCCAACAATCGATTTCTTCAATAATGATACCGATTATACAAATGTAGTACTCATCTAAAATGTTTACACTCTATTGATGTTAATTTCAAAGTGGGTTACGTTACGGAATAGATTGCAGTTAGATAGTACGTTTTTAACGCCAGGATTTTTTTTCAAAATGCTCATCAGTCTTCGTTATGAAAACATTTAAGTATGTATCAAAGAGCTTCATATTTTTTTGTAAATAACTCACTGAATCATAAACTAAGAGTACTATTTTTGAAATAGATACAACTGACTTGTTTCCATTACTTATTTATTTAAAACTAAAAAATTAATTTTTATTAATAGTGTGATAACATAGTAATCGCGCGTTGTATAATTAACAACAGTACTAATAAGTAGTCATTTCTGTACATCAAATTAATTGGTATTATATTTTATTAATGCATTTACTATACCTTAAACTTTTATAGTAGGCTGTAATAAAAGCAATATTCATATACAAAACATATACTAAAGGATAACAATATAAGTTTTAAAAAAAAATTGATAAGTACAAAGCTGTTATATTCTTTATAACAGCATGCACACTGGAAGGTTAAAATATTCCTATCAATTGGCTTTTGAAGAAATTCCTATTTTTAAATACAACATAATAATTTTTTTTCGTATCCTAGATAGCTTTATTTTATTAAAATTACTGATTATTTTTCTTTAAACATCTTTTTTTTTTTTTGATATGACTAGGTATCATGACTGTAATAATTTTTTATTTTCATATTTACACCAAGAAGGTTTCTGGTTTTCTATTTTTTTTTTATATAATAGCGTATTTGGTTCCTATTATACTGCATATTTGATTATTTAAATTTGATACATAAATTACCAATATTATTTTAAACCAAAAATTAAATGTTTAATTCATTTTTTATTATCATATTCAAAAATATTGTGAATTTTACTTAGGTTAATATTATTAGGAGACTCAGATATGCGTCTTATAATAAAATATATTTAATTACATTCAAACGTTATTATTTATTTTTAAATCGCTTCTAAATAATTTTTTCTATTAACGCTTGACTATAACAGTAATTTTTTTTATTCTTTCAAGTATCATTATAAGTTATTAAAAAGTAGTGGGTTTTAATATTATTTTAGTAGCAAAAGATTTTTTTCTTTTTACTTTAAATTTTAACAAGTCTAAATTTTTATAATATCTATATTATATAATATCAACACTATTTTTTAACCTAAAAATGGTAACTGACAAATTAAATTTGGTAATTTTATGTTTCTAATTTCGTAGACAGCGATTTTATATTGTGTAATATGACACGTGTAACCTTATACTATTACACAATTTTTATAACTCATGTACTAATGATTTCTTTATTATTATATGGCCATAATCTGCTCTACTACTTTTACTTCAATATTGGTTTTTACTTGAAATAATTTTGCTTATTTTACATTCTTTTATCTATTGTTTCGTCTTGTGCAGTAGGCAACCTGAAAAAACTACTCTATAAATGCCCTTTACCATGGACAGCACTCATGTTGAGACAAAGTTTTAAACCAACCTTATAAAGATGAAAAAAAATAAATCTATTGTTTAGCTACTACAATTTAAATCATTTAAAATTACGTGTGGATTATTTTGAGGTACAACTTTTTACTAATGTGTAAACATCTTTACCTGCGGATTGGTTAAGTATAAACCAGTGCAACCGTTACAGAAGTAGCACTGACTGAAATGAATCTGACAGTTGGTTGGAAGTAAATTTTACAGTTATAAAGCTAGGGTCCAATGAAAGCAGGCTCTTCATCTTGTGAATGGCAGCTGTGTATGTTATTTTTGTTGTGTAGTGACCACAGAGGACACCACTTTGGCTTAGCCGTCAATCCAAGTATAAAAGGTAGTAAGTATTTATAAAATAAATAGAATACCTACAATATTAGATTAAATAAAAAATATTTAGGCAGTAACAAAAAAAATAGTTGTTTGATTAGGTAAATTAAAAAAATGTACTTCAATTTTATCAACTTAGAAGCCTAAATTATTAATATATAGCAGCTATAAGTTCAAATTAAATTTTTTAATGAGATAACATTTTTATTGAAACTGCAGTAAGATGTTTACACATAACCAGTGTGTACTGCCATACCTTTTTTTTTTAATTCTACAAATTATAATATATATATATATATTTTTTTTTTAAAGCATTTTTTTAGACAACAATAAGCTTTTACTTCAGTAGATAAAATGTGAATGACTGATGAGAATGTGTATTATTTTATAGTGCTTATTTTTCATCTTTAATAGTTAATTCTTTAAAATAATTTTAAGTATTTAGAGTAATTTTAAGTTTTCTATTATTCTTTTAAATTTTAATAGTATTATTATTATTCAATAATTTACATTATAGTATATATATATTGTATAGGTACGTGATAACTAAATGCAATTTAGGTAATTTATTGTTGGTAAAAACATAAATAATGCAATGTTATTATCTGTAATTATATGTTATTCTTTTTAAATAAAATTCTTAATAAATATATCAATGCGGAGCTTTAAAGGTATTTTTTTTAAAATGATGTGTTTTAATTAATTTTGTTTTTTTTTTTGTGTCTGGACCCACAATATCTTATAAACCGCTGTACCAGTTTCTTCTTCTAACAACTTTATAGATCAAAAATCGTACCTGAAAGATACTTTATTTGGACTAAAATTTAGAAACTTCACCTCTTCCCATTCAAACTAGAGAAAACCATGTAAACAATTTTACATATTTTTTAAATTAAAATTATGGTGCTCTATAACTTTAAAATATATAATACCAAATTTGTATGGAATATTCTTCAGACAGTACAACCGATAAACATTGACATACCTAACAAATATCATAAACTCTTTCCTTAAGAAGGGTGAAACCTTTTTCTTTATTTCGCTTTTTCAGGTGAAGTTAGGGCTTTTATGGTCTTAAAATTAAACCGAAGGTAGATTTAAAGGGGGGCTATGAAATAAAACAATTTCTTAACAATTTTGTAGTCAACTTTTTTTTTATTAAAGAAAAAATTACACTTAACCATGGTAAATTTCTAGGTAGCTTTGTTTGAGTGAATCAACAGTCAACTATTATATATCAAATAATATTATAAGTTAAATATTTGTATTATATTGTTAAATACGATATTTGGGTATTATGGCAATAAATTATTATAAACAGACGATTAACCCTAATCGTATTTACCCTCCTAATACCAAAAACCCATTTTTGAGCACATTGTCATTATGTGAAATGCTTTTATCAATATTTTTGTATTTCTACCATTATACGATTCGCATCAAAGCGTTTAATTTAAAGTGGCTTAAAAACGTTTAGTTGTAATAATTCATGTAGACCTGTGACCTCCCCCGCTGTTATAACCTGTTTTTAATGTAATTATTTATCATCTATAAGTTATAACAGTATTAAAAATGAAACATTATATATAAAAATAAATTTAAAGATCTTCACATAGTTTTATATTTATTGTGTGTTTTTTTTTTGTTTCAGAAGTGTTTGTAAAGTAACAAATTAAAAAATGGAAGACCAGGAGTCTGACAACAAAACATTACCACTTGCCAAAAAGCAAAAAATTAATGACGATGAGTATCGATTGGTGGACTCGAACATCGATACTATCAGTTTGAACTTGACCAGACATTGTTTGTGTCAACTACCTGAAACATGCATGTTGAAAGACGTGTTCAGTGTAACTGACATAAGTAGTTGGAGTAAAGAACGACTATTAAACTTATTGAGTTTTGGTCGACTAACTTGTGATATTGCACTGAAACAACAAGCTAATGGTACAATATGTCCTAGCATAAAGCATCTAAGTGAGGATTTGGTTGCTAATAAAACTGGCATAGTTAATGAAATTGTAACCTTGTTGTCTTGCCCTGACCATTACATTTCATATGCAGCAAGTTATGCGTTGTCATACATATTTTTATGTTCCAATGACAAGCTACAGGAAGTGTGGTTGCAACAGCTGACCGACTTGATGTTACGTCAATTGCCAGAAACGTTAGAGCCCGTAATATCAGTTTTCAATCGTGTATTGTGTTGGAAAGATGCTCCAATAACAGATTTAAATAAAATCAAATTGCCTGAGAACTGTTTCAGCATAAAAGATGTCGAAGATAATGAATTTAGGACTGTCAAAACAAAAATGATTGAAGTGTTGCAGCCTCAATGGAGGATGATAGTGGTGAAATTCATTAGGTACATGTCTTCATTTGACCTTTGTACAGACGTCGGTATTGAGCCATTTTATCATAAAACAGGTCACAACGCTATTATTGAAATCATTAAATTGTGGACATCAATTGTTTCTATAAAAACGAACTTGAATTTCATGGATATCAAAAACTTCTATGCAGACTTGCAACAAATGCTGATACTTTTGAGGAGGCCTAAAATACACCCGGCCATATGGAAAAACATTATCAACCTTTTCAACGAGAGTTTATGTTACACAAGCACTTTGGCCATACAGGGTACAATGCAAGAAGAACCTTGCACATTGGCAAGAGAACTAGTCAAAGCAGTAAAAACCAAGAACATGCTGACCAATATGCCTTTTCGAAAAGGGTTGAGAAAATATGGCGGAGGAAAAGGCGACGGGGATAAAAAATTGTTGCAAGACACAATATTACTTATTTTAAAAGCTGTTGCGACGATCATCAAAGAAACAAAAAACGATTCCAGTGATTCTTCATCTGAAGAATCTGAAGACTCTGAAGAAATTGATGCTGAAATGGCTATAATAGAGAGCAGTGTCAACGACTTATTACGGAAGGTGGACATTTGCGTCGAGGAATGCATGTCGTATCTACCCGGAACACCGACTGCCCAATGGATTGTGCAGTTGTTTGCGGATAGAAACGACGTGCTCATTGAAAGTATGATTTGTACGTTGGATATTTCGTCAGTTTTATGCTACCGTCGCAATTCATTGCCTAGGTTGAGGGACGTATTGAATCCTACTTTAAGTTTAGTCGAATTTTTACAGACAATGTCCTATGACAACGATATTAACTTATTTATTTTAGACTTGTTATTGGGTGATGACACTCATTTTCTTTTGTATATTTGGCAAATTCTCAAGTTCATTTGTAATAGATGGAACGAATTCTGCCTTTGTTGCGACACAAAATTACAGAGTACAATGGCCGTACTAATGGGTCTAATGAAAAGCTTAGATAACCTTATTAGAAACAAATTAAATCCTTATAATCTGAATCCTGTGTTGCGATTACTAGTCAGATGTAAAGAGTTATATAGTGGTGTGAGTGACATGAACATTTAATTATTTATTATTTATCTACAATATTTTTTTCAAAGAACACCTTCAATGAAAAAAATATTGTAGATAACTCTGATGATAAATGGATTTTTGTTTACCCGTACCATTTTTTTTAGCATAACATAAAAAAAACATTGTATATCTGTATAACTTCAGTGTGCAACCAAATATTTAATATTCTGTATAAAGTATTATTTTTTTTAATTAGAGAATAAAGTAATTGAATAGTTTAGTTCAAAATGTTACATGAAATAATTTGATTTATTTTTCAAAATCGACCCAATTAAATTAAAATATTGTAAATTGATTATGTTGAAGAATCAAAGTTGTAAATAAATTATATACAATTTATAAGAATAATGTTCTTGTTATAAACTTAAAGACTGATAAATAAGGACTATTATTAATATAAAAATAGGATCAATTAGTGTAAGACCTTAAGCCAAGTTGCTATTGGATGTTAAGAATTGTAAATATCACATAAAAAAAAAAATAAGAAAATTTTAGATTAATTTTAATGATTGTACAGTGTTTACTATTCTTTTTTTTATTCAGCGAATTATAATAATTATTATTATTGTTAAGAATACATTACATAAAGAACCTTTTTTCTATAATAAACTTCTCAAACATTTCAATTTAGTTCTTACTTGTGGTTTGTACTTTTTTATTAATAACATGTACTCTTATTAGTATGTGAAATTTTTAGTTTGAAAACATTTTTTTTTTTATTATCTCTTGAATCCTGTTTTATTAGAATTTTTATACGCATTATTTATAATATTTTTTTTATTTAGTTTAAATAATATTAACTAATAAAGTAATCTATGTAAACTATAATTGGTAATTTATATAGCATTGAATTTTTTGTTTTGCATATCGAAATTGTGGTAGGTAAATAATTTTTGTTGACGATTAAATTTTCAATTAATATTAACTAATCGTGTATTATTTTTTTATCAATATTCAATTAAGTAATACCTTTTCAATTACAGAATGTTTAGTTAGTTTCTAAAGAAAATGTTTTTTATTGTCTGTATTCAAATTATTTTTTATATTGAGTGGGTTTAAATTATAAAATGTCCACAAATGATGTGGTTGAGCTGTAATTGTAATGAAACTATTTTTAAAATAAATACAATTTATTTATAAAAAAAAATTGAATAATGTTATTGTTGAATTGTTCATTTTCTCTGTTTTTTGAATAAAATTGTATTGCAAGCTCCTATTTTGTAACAATCCGTCCAATATTTTTGTATATAATTTAATACACCTTGTTTTAAGAATCCGTATCAAAGACTAGTTAATAAATATAATTTTGTTAAATGCGTGTTACTTAAGTTGTTGTCAAATTACTTGACGTGGCTAGTACGATTCTGGCTAGACTCGACGTAGTGACTTGACTACATTTTTATGAATTGTATTTTCTTCATATTAACAAAGTGTAATAATGAATAAATTAGCTTTGTATATTTTAATGTGTTATGTTTTTATTTTAATTGGTTATTTCATTTTGTCATAATAGATCTAAGTTTGCGCACTTCACGTTATTTCATGGAATTCTTAATTAGTCGAGCAAGAAAAATCTGATAACTCCATTCAGGATTTCCTCTGTGAACTGATTCACAAATAAATTTAAATTTTGCAGTAAATACTATTGTTTATTATTCACACACTACCGAGTGAGAACTACATTTAGCATTGTATGCAGTTTGCAAAAACAATAAAACGCCAGCTTTTATCAATCTTTGTTAGCAATTAACAAAATTTCATAATAAATAAATATGAAGAATCAATTGCTACTTGTAGTATGAATTGTATTCATAGTAATTATGCTAATTATAGGGAAATATAAATAATAGCTTATAAATCTTGTGGTTAATTTATTTAAGGTTGAACAATTTCTGTTTTTAATTTTTAAAAGCCATAACGTAAAAATAATTGTTAAATTTTCAAACAATTATAAGGCTATTCTACACAATAATTGAGCCCGACGCAAAGTGGTGTATGACATTATCAGTACACTTTGGGTGTAAGTAGACACTATTACGAATACAAATCAAAAATCGTTGAACATATTATTTTTAATTTCAAATTTTAATAATATAGCTATGACTTGTGTCATTTGTGCATTTCAAATATTATTTTTATTTGTAATTTTCATCATGAATCACGATTTTTCTACAAATTAGGTTTGCACCAAATTTGATAAGCTCAGTCGTGAATGATCTAAGGGTGAATTTCATATGTTTATCGTTAAGACTAATTGTGATGTACCACTTTTGTGTAAAACAACCAAGAATGAGTAATGCAATAGATAAGACGTTAAAATTGGTACTAGAAAAGTACATACCGAGTTATTTTATATTTACAAAATTAAAACGCTCAATTGAACATATAAACATTGATTAAATATATATTTAATCAATGATATAAATGCACATTTTTTATTTAGCATTTTAATTTTTTATTATCACGATCATACCATAGTTATCAGTTTTCGTTAAAAATCTGTTAAAAAATAATAGATTTCATATATTAATATGGACATATAAACGGATAAAATAGTTACTAAGCTAAACCTTTAAGAAATTAAAAAACTGTTTTTAATTTAAACCATTTTAACGCTATCCATATAAGCGTACTAATAACATTATTATAGTGTTAAAAGATTTAATATTATTTTGTATTTATTGTGTGTTGTTTTTTTTTTGTTTCAGAAGTTATTGTGAAGTAACATTTTGAAAAAAAATGGAAGACCAGGAATATGAAAATAATACATTACCACTGGCCAAAAAGCAAAAAATTAATGACGATGAGTATCGATTGGCCGACTCAAACATCGATACTATCAGTTTGAATTTGACCAGACATTGTTTGTGTCAACTACCTGAAACATGCATGTTGAAAGACGTGTTCAGTGTAACTGACATAAGTAGTTGGAGTAAAGAACGACTATTAAACTTATTGAGTTTGGCTCGACTAACTTGCGATATTGCACTGAAACAACAGGGCGAAGGTACAATATGTCCAAGCATAAAGCGCCTAAGTGAGCACTTAATTGCAAATAAAACTAGCATAGTTAATGAAATTGTAACCTTGTTGTCTTGCCCTGACCCTTACATTTCATACGCAGCAAGTTATGCGTTGTCATACATACTGGTATGTTCCAATGACAAGCTACAGGAAATGTGGGTGCAACAGTTGACCGACTTGTTCTTATCTCAATCACCAGAAACCTTATGCCCCGTTATATCAGTTTTCAACTGTGTACTGTGTTGGAAAGATGCTCCTATAACCGATTTAAATTATATCAAATTACCTGAAAATTGTTTCAGTATAAAAATATTTGTCAATGACAATCCTTTTGGTGCCGTTAAAACAAAAATGTTTGAAGTGCTTCAGCCTCAATGGAAGATGATAGTGTTGAAATTCATTAAGTACATGTTTGACCATTGTACAGATGTCAGTAATGAGCCATTTTATCATAAAATGGGTCACAAAGCTCTTATAGAATTTATTAAATTGTGGACTTCAATTGTTTCTGTAAAAACAAACTTGGACGTCATGGGTATTAAATATTTCTATACAGACTTGGATCAAATGCTGTCACTTTTGAGGAGGCCTAAAGTACACCCTGTCATATGGAAAAACATTATCAACCTTTTTAATGAGAGTTTATGTTACACGACCACTTTGGCCATACAGGGTACAATGCAAGAAGAACCTTGCACATTGGCGAGGGAATTGGTCAAAGCAGTAAAAACCAAGAACATGCTGACTAATATGCCTTTTCGAAAAGGTTTGAGAAAATATGGTGGAGGAAAAGGCGATGGGGATAAAAAATTGTTGCAAGACACAATATTGCTAATTTTAAAAGCTGTTGCAACAATCATCAAGGAGACAAAAAACGATTCCAGTGATTCTTCAGAAGAAGAATCTGAAGACTCTGAAGAAATTGACGCTGAAATGGCTATAATAGAGAGCAGTATCAACGACTTGTTACGCAAAGTGGACATATGTGTCAAGGAATGCATGTTGTATCTGCCAGAAACACCGACTGCCCAATGGATTGTGCAGTTGTTTGCAGATAGGAACGACGTGCTCATTGAAAGTATGATTTGTACGTTAGATATATCTTCTGTTTTATGCTATCGTCGTAATTCATTGCCTATGTTGAGGGATGTATTGAATCCCACTCTGAGTTTAATAGAATTTTTACAGACAATGTCTTATAACAATGACATTAAAGAAATTATTTTAGATTTGTTATGGAGTGTTGAAACTCAATTTCTTTTGTATTTTAAGCAAATTCTTAAGTTCATTTGCAATAGGTGGAACGAGTTCTGCCTTTATTGTGAAACAAAATTACAGAGTATAATGAGCATACTAATTGGTCTGATGAAAAGATTAGCTCACTTAATTCGTAACAACTTAACTCCTTATAATCTAAATCCAGTGTTGCGATTACTAGTTAGATGTAAAGAGTTATATACCGGTGTGGGCAGTACGACCATTTAAACATTCACTTTTTATCTACACTATTTTTTTTTTTTAAGAATAATATCAGAAAAAAATAATGATAGTAAATAACGATGCTTTATTAATAGATTCTTATTTACTTATAATCTTACAAATTTAGTAATGAATTATTTAATACATTTTAAATGCAATTTTATTTGGGTTAGTTGGATTTGTCAACATTTAAAATTAAAACAGGCTGTTATATCTAAACAACAAACTGTTTTTTTTATAAAGACCAAAAAAAATGTATATGGAAAAGAACATTGTGTATCTGTATAGCTTTTCAGTGTGTTCACAACCAAATATTTTATATTATGTTTATAGTATTATTTTTTAACTAATTAGAGAATATAATATTTAAATAGTCTGTACAAAATGTTATACATATAAAAAAAATTTTGATTTAATTTTTTAAGCTAAAGTAAACTTGCCTATTTTAAATCTAGCGAGTTCAACCCAATTAAATTAAATATGCTGAAAGATGAAAGTTGTAAATAAATTATACAACATTTATAAGAATAATGTTCTTATTATAAACTTAAAGACTGATAAATAAGGACTATTATTATTATAAAAATAGGTTCAATTAGTGTAAGACTTTAGCCAAGTTGCCATTGGACGATCAAATTTTGCACCACATAAATAAAATAACAAAGTTTTAGAGTAATTTTTTATTATTGTGAACTTTTGACTATCAATGTATTCTTTTTTTTTATTCAATGTATTATAATTATTATAATTGTTAATAATACATTAAGAAAAGTACCATACCTCTTTTTTACCATTTTATTACCATAGCTTCCTTAACATTTAATTCTTATTTGTAGTTTGTACTTTTTTGTAATGTGTACACTAGTATTTAAAAATTTTAAATTAAAAAAAAATAGTAATTTGTTCAACTTTCTTTTTATTACTGTTTTATTATTAATAATATTTATAATATTTTTTATTAAGTATAAAGTAATATTAACTAATCAACTAATTCATGAAAATTGTTATTATAATTGCATTGTATTTTTTTTTTTGGCATTATTGAAAATTTAGTAGGTAAACAATTTTTGTTAACGGTTAAATTTCTTATGCAATACATTATCGTTCACCTTTATTAAAGATTATTATTTTTCAATTAAATTTAAATGAATATTTGTTTTTATTCTATAATTAATTATTTAATATTCAATTAGGATATACATTTCAATAAAAAGGTAAACTTTTCAATTGCAGATTGTCTAGAATATATTTTTTATACGTATGTTGGTTTTAAATTATAAAACATCCTTAGATGTGGTTAAGCCGTATTTGATACCAAACTTTTTTTATTTTTTTAATAAAATTTATATAAATAATAATTTTATAATATTATTACTGAAATGTTCATTTTCTCTTTTTTTTTAACAAAATTGTATTGCGAGATTTTATTTTATAACAATTCGTCCAATATTTTTTATTTATAATTTAATTTACTTTATTTTAAAAATCTGTATCAAAGACTAGTTATTAAATAAAATTATTTTCTTAAATGTGTGTTCCAGCTTTTTATTGGGTTTTGTTTGTCAGTCGACCGCAAGAGAATTAATAAACTAACAATCAACATACTATTTTTTTTTATTAAAATAATAAATTGTGGAATATTATTTTTTAATTTTATTTGGGGGAAGTAATGAATAACGAGTGAAGTAGATTTTCTAGGTATTATGCATTTCTTACTTAAAAAATAATTTTCGTTTTCTACGATTATATTTTTCTAAGAAAACCATAATAATACCTAGTTATTAACTGTGTGATGTTTTTAATGAATCGTGTTTACTACATATTAAAAAAGTGTAATTACGCATAATTTACCCCCGCTGTCTATATTTTAATATCGTCTCTCTTTTTTTTGATGGGTTAATTAATAAATTTAATTTTTATAATAATAAATATACGTTTGCGCACCTCGCATTGTTTCATGCAATTATTATTTAGTCAAGCAATAAAATCCCAATGGCTCTAAGCAATTTTTTTACAATCGAATTTCCTATGTAAATTAATTCACAAAAAAAAATATAATTTTGCAGTAAGTATTGTTGCTTATTATACACACACTACCGATTGAAGACTGCATTTAACATTGTATACAATTTGCAAAAAAAAAATGACGTTGTCAGCTTCTATCAATCTTTGTGAGTTATTAATTAAATTTCATAATAATCAAATTATATAAATATTAAGTAGCATTGCTTCTTGTACGATAAATTGTATTCATAGTTAATATACTGGTAAATGCAGAGTAAATGTAAAAAATAGCTTATAAATCTTTTAAACCAATATCAACAGCTTATGACTATGAGTGGACAATGCCTAATGGTCGAATAATTTCAGTTTTAATTATAGCCCTCGTTCATCACACATAAATATTTTTTTTAAATTTCATGTAATTATCAGCCCATAAAAATCTTAATTTTTTTCAAAGAATTATTAAGTCTTACTTATACGTGTATTAATAATATAAACAATATTCCGTTGGTTCATTTGAAATAAAATAAATGGAACATAAATATTAATTTAATGTTCATAATATTCTCGTGTTATATGTATTGTTTTTGAAAATGTTGGTTTTTAATTTATTGACATTTATTTAATGTAGGTATACCAATACTTAAGAATAGATTTTTTCAATAAACAAAACGGACAACGCTACCTAATGTTCATTGTGGATGATTTCAAAAACATTTTTAAAGTTTAATTTAAATAATGTACTTAAAAATATAAACATATATGTTCATGTATGTTATGTTACCTAAATAATAATAATTCATAGGTTACCTAATAAATAATATGATTACAAAAAACTTAAGCAAGTTGCAATCAACATTGTAATTTGTATGTGTGTGTATATATATTTTTTCGGTTCTAGTCAGCGGCCAGCCAGCCATCTTTAAAAAAATATATATATATTATAAAATGTCCGTTATATTATAGACCCCTGGGCACTTATTATGGTATACCTACACAGTACCTATGTCCCATACACGGTGCCTTACTGGTTTAATATTGATGTTTTTTAATTGTACAGTGAGATAGCTTAACAAAAAGAACAACACCAAAATATAACCCTAAAGACATAAGAAAAAACAAAACCAAACACGTACACATAATAATAACTTCTAAAGTTAATTTTATGTATAAAATAATATTTTAATGTGTACCCATGTACGTCCTACGCGGCATGCTATTATACAGGTTTCTGAATCATGTACTTTTTTTTTGTTGTTGTTAAATAACATATTAAATTATGACAAAAATGAGTTTAGAATAATACGATGATTATTGAGTACAATATGTACGTTGTATTGCTTTCGGGCAATACCTACATCACGTGTGGAAATGAGTAAGTGCGGTCATTTTTTTTAACTTATATCACATTGAGCTGTCAAGAAGCAGTTCAAAAGTTGAAAATTCCAATTGTGTCAGACATTGATGAACTCGATTAGCCATTAGGTACCTACTTGAATATATTTATATAGATAATTTACTATCATACAGTCCGTTATAAACTTTATTATTGATTTTTTTTTTTTCAATATTTAATATTGAGGTACTTATATGAATATCATAATACCGTTATAGGTATTTTAATAATTAGACATCCGCAATAATTTACCTTCTTTTCTGTTATTTGATAAAATAACAGTTTTTTTCCCCTTTGTACTAACTAGTTACCATCACGGTTAATGGTCGTTAAAATCGTTTGTAAATATTTAAATTTAACGTTGTACCTACTATTTTGAAATATCCACTTTAAATGAAAAGTTAAAAATTGTTTTATTACTCATGACTGTGGGAAAACCAAAAAGAATAGGTCACATTTTATATTTAATTAACATTTTTTTTTAATTGCTAAAGAATATTTTTAAAAAGAAGTTTTTAATTTAAAGTACTTGTACAATGTTGTATTGTAAATTGTTTGTAATGTTAAAACTATAAAATGCCTACTATTAAGTAAATTAATTTGTTAGGAAACTGTTTTTAAATAGTTGACAATGTAAATAGTATTTATCTAAAAGTTCTGTATTCATGAATATAAAATAATAACAATAATAATAAATATATGTAAATATGCATATTTAGTGGATCTTCTTTATTTTCTAATATAAGCAGTAAGCACTGATAATAATTATTATCGATGTGTTTGGTGTATAATATATAGTTATTAGTTATAGGTACTATAATTTTTTTTGTATAAGTATTATTATACTTACTTTGTTAAATTTTTAAAACAGAATTTTAAAACTTCGATACTGGATTGATTTTTTTTTGTTATAGATCTAAAATAATCTATATGCAATATACTGTATACAATATCAGAAACTCATTGGAAATTATTGAAATACCTACTAAAAAACCTATAGTTATAAATCATTCGTGTATACTGTACTATATTGTAGGTATGTTTTGTAGGCCGTTTAAGTGGAGGTATATGATATAAATATGAAACAAGTTTAATTATTATAGGTACCTACATTATAAGACCAAACACGTTGTAAATGAGTATTTAAAAGCGTCACATAGTATAAAAAGGTACCCATTAAATATTACCTATAATATTTTAACGTATTATTAATATCAACTCAGCCTATCCATATGAAAGGTTGAAAGCGATTAATAATCAAGCAAATTCTATAGCTGCTACAATAATACATAACAATTATAAAACACAACTAATGTATATACCTTGGATATATATAAACCTCATATTATGTTATTAAAAAACCACCTCGGCTTGCATACACAGTACATTATAAAATATATTATAATCCCAATAAAAACCCTGTACATTTTTCCGTGTAAAAAAATGGGAAAGTACCAAAAATGTGTAAGCAATTTTAGTTTAAGGGTTGAATATTTATTATTTTTCTTAAGCGACTTGATTGAAGAACCCCTTCATTAAGGGGACATTGAGTATGTTTTCTGGAAAAATTGTAAGTAGATATGCTATTTCAGGCATAGTCGCAATATGTTTACGAGAAAAGATGGGAAAAATGTATGTAAATAACGAATAAGAACTAAAACAAATCGAATAACAAATTAATTTAATTACAAATTTAATCATTTATTTGATAATTTTCAAACAATATTTTTATTCGAATAAATAACTTAAATAATTCCCAACTCCGTTCAAGAGTGAACATGTTCTGTAGATTAAACCACTCACGCCCCAGCACGCAATATCCGTTTCTTATATTAACTAAAAATTAATGGCTGTAATCAGTAGCTTGGGTAATTACGTGAATTCGGTAAATTGGTATAATCGTTTTAATTACATACATTAATTATTTATATCTAGTTTTGAACTCGTTGTTTGAACAATAATAATATTTATAGGTGCATATTCTGAGCACTGTAGTATCATAAAAAGTTAAATGCTGATTAATGCCATTTTTCTTGACATTATTATGTTAGGCGCGTAAAAAAAAATACTGATATTGTTACTAATAATTATGTTGTTTACTTGCTATCTCAAATTATTTTCTTTGAATTCCTATTATATAGTCTAGTGAACTTCGTCGAAACTTTGTCTACTTCAGGGCTGCTAATCATAATTGTATATTTTTTTAAAGAGAGTGAAAGTGGTCTTATGGTAGTTAAGTGTGTACATATTGTAATAGGTACCAACAAAGTGTTCTACAAATTTTATACAAACTGGCTTAAATAAAGGCCATTAATTGTTAGACAGGTGCGCATGCCATATTTGTATCTCATAAAAATGTCATCTAGATCTGACTAGTTATCGCCAAAAGGTCACGGTGCGATCTTCTATTGACGGATATAACATTTAAAGTAATATTACACATATTATTATATTATCCATGAGTATATTATTATGACGGAAGTGTCGAGTCAAAACCGTTGACTCGGCGCAGACGGCGGTATTGTGTAATAATTATTAAATACAACAACATGGTAAAATATAATAAGAAGTTTAAATACACAAATACCTAAGTGACACAATAAATATTTGTTGAGCGAGTTCCATGGATTTACTTTCTACTTCTCCCGCCACGACCGACCAGTTGACGTTGCACTCGGTTCGCGGTCAGTGTAAACGGTACACATGTTACCATTATGATAACAGCTGTAATATTGCATTCTGTTATCACACAAACAGGAATTCACTTTACCCACCTACTGTTTTTTTTTGTTATCGCCTACAAAAAGAAAACATTATAGTAATAATTATTGTTGTAGTTATATTAATGATAATCGCGAACACCTTTGCTTGAGTATAATAATATTGTTTTGTTTTCTCTTATATTTTCTGTATTCATCGTTGATTTTCTCACTCTTGCGGATTTGCCGTTTTCGTGACGCTTTGAGTTATGATAGTGTACATAGGTACTAAATTGTGTGTTCATACAGAAATTTTATTTTCTACGTTGTAAGCGCGCTCGCGTGTGTGTGTATAGTATATTTTGTCGTTCCGTTTAGTAAATTAGAAGGTCGTCCGTTCTGTGTGCCGTCGGACGAGCGGAAAAATTCTGCTTCTTTACAGGAAGTAAAAAAAAAAAAAGCAAAAAATTAAAATTATTTATTATTTTGTGGGTTTTGTGTTTGTCCTCATCACATATGTTTTGCTATTACAACGGGACGTTTGTAAAATGTGATCGGCTGTTAAAAGGGTGATGGGCTGCAATATGAAGGACGCTTGTCGTTGATTGTGACACAGTGGCGGTAACGACTAGCCGTACAGGTCCTTAATTACCCCATACATTTGGTGTGATCAATTTTGAAAATTGCTGTAAGTGAAATAAAAAAACACCATCCCCCCTATTAGAAGTGCTGAACATCCATTTTTTGAATGTTACTCATTTGTCCTCGTTTGCTTTGTATTAATGCCTGTATGTTTTTTTATGTCTTGTTGTTATGCTTTTTTAAAAAATATTTTTATGTATTATATATTTTACTTAATAGTGTTGTGGTATTAGGTGTAAACGCTATGTAATAAAACGACTTGCAGATTATCAATGTTAAATCGAAATTGAGTTGTGTGATATAATCGTTTTTTGTGCGCACATGACAATACATTCTATTATATTATAGTCTAATGAAATTAACTTTCTAATTATTGATTCTTTCATTGTAAAATCAGATTGCTCATGCTTTTAATTTTTAAACAATTGTTTTCTTATAAGTATATCTTGTCTTTTGAACATGCGCAATAAATTAGTTATTAGCTGAGAATACCCTTATAGAGTCATAGAGTGCTAACACTATTAATAAAAAGATATTGCCACTGACTATTCAAGTTAAAATTATTATCCCTTGCAGATCAAGAGATTTTTAGAGTTTTTAAACAAATTGTTTAATATTTTTATTTTTTTTACTGATATATTTTAAACTACACTATCATGAACACTCGTTATGTGGCTTTGATCTATAAGGGTTGATGTAATGATTTGAGTTTAATATGCAATGTTATATTGGTAGTATAATAAATAAATTAAAAACTGTAATGTCTGTAAGTGACAAAACGAAGAAATTGGAATTAAAATTACTTGTGCATTTTGACTATGATGTTGATTTTCCGCTGCGACATTAATTTATAAAATTGTTGTTCTCATTTAGTTATGTATGGATTGGAAGCAGCTGGTTCAGAAACATAGTCGTAAGATCTTGAATCGAATAAGCATGGACCTAATGTTGGAGGCTTATTTGACCCACGAATCCAGTCTAATGGAATTGGAGGATATCCCTCAGACTGTCGATCCTGTGTGGATTTTAGGAAAAAAATATAGCGCAATTATCGGTGAGTATAAATCCACTCGTATGTCTTACATAAAAAATAAACGTTAAGTGTTTTTTGTTGATGTTTAAAGCTTGGGTTAAAATATTAATACGAAGAAAAAAGGTAATGTGTCACTTCAAACATAACTTTGTAATTATTAAGTTTATGTAAAGCAAAATCGCTGTAATTTTATAGCATTTTAGAAATATTTCAAAACATTTAAATGCCTGTAATCATAATAAAAAACTAAAAATATTTCTCTTTTATATACTTTTAATAAATTATTATAATTTAAGGAACATTATTCATAGCTAGTTAATAACCAATTATTACCATTTATAGTCGAAATTTTAAATTTATATGTAAAAGAAAAACAATAAACTGCTCTCTTACCATTAAAATAACAATTTTGTACTTATAACATTTGTGAATGAAGCCATTGATATTATAAGTCAATATAATTGACTTATAATTATAGGCAATTTTAGTATGTCATGTTAGATAATCTTGTAGTTAAATTTTCATACTTAAATGGTATTAGCTAAAGTGCTTTTATTAACTAATGTGCATTTTTTTTAGACATACAACAAATCCGCAATGATATACAATCTAGACTATGGTTTACTTATAGAAAAGGTTTTCTTCATATTGGCAATACAAATTTTACAACCGACAGAGGTTGGGGATGCATGTTAAGATGCGGTCAGATGGTTATTGGTCAAGCTCTTATCTTCCTACATCTCGGTAAGTAATAAAATCATAAACATCAATACAAAATTAACAAAAAAGCCCACATTATTGTAAAACCAATAGCATTGCTGCTCCGCATCGAAGCTAATATACACATTTTTGTCACACTTATCACTTATCACATTTTTTTTTCTGGTTGAAATGTATAATTTTATGTATCTATTTTCAGGTCGTGAATGGCGATGGGATTCTGACAAGAGAGATATTGATTATTTGAAAATTTTAAGGATGTTCGAAGACAAACGATCTGCTCCTTACTCAATACATCAGATTGCTCTTACCGGTGTTTCTCATGGCAAACAAATTGGTGAATGGTTCGGGCCAAACACTATAGCTCAAGTGTTAAAGTAAGCTATATCTTTATCTAAATTAAATGATCTGTTTGTGTTTTTTCCAATCTAATATTTATAATTTATTAATATTTTTTTAGGAAATTGGCTTCATTAGACGAATGGAGCTCAATTGTGTTTCATGTTGCGTTAGATAATACACTAGTCATTAATGAAGTTTGTAAGTATACTCTTGTAATCTAGATCATTCATCTTGACTAAAAATAATTAACAATTAGATAAATTCCACTGAATAATGTTATAGTGATAGTTGTTATATAGCCAGTGCTGGATTTAGGTATTTTTACACCCTTGAAAGATAATCAAGTAAGCCCATTTTTGTAACACATGTTAGGCGCTATGATACGTGAGGCTTAAGGCAGATGCGTGGCTCTTTTTTCTTCTTAAAATTGATATATATATATATATATAGACTGCCTTTTTTTATTCTAGATTATTAAAATGTTTGTCTCATTTTAATTTGTTTATAATTTGTTATTTTGTGTGCAACTTACTCTACAAATTTCAATGCTGTAAAATATATATATCTTAATGTTTTATGTTAATTTTTATCTTGAAATATTCACAAACATACTACTATCTATAGGTATAAAAGTTAAAACGATATTTTATTTTGATACCGATTAATTATGTATTTACATTAAGTTCATTGCTTATTATCTATTACTATTAATCTAATTGAACGTTGACAAATTTAACAAATATACTTAGCTGGCTTTGGTGTCTGCTGAGTGCCATTTCCAATGATCCAGAATAAATAAATAATAAAATGATACAAATTATTCAGCTCTTAAGTGGATACAAAACGACGCATTCTGATAGTAAAAACACAGTATGAAAAATCCATATTGCTAAGGAAATTATTATAAGTCTATTATTTGAAAATAATTTTATACTTATGTCATCGTTAATTGATTTCACATTACACAAGCACTACAGTATACTTGGTGTAGATGTACATTTTATTTTTAATATTAGGATGGGGCTTATAGTTTTTCTTTTCATTAATTAACACTAGTATATGAGTAGACTTATTTTTCCAGTTATTTGCCTGCTAATTGACATTCTTTCTACCTTCTAAGTACATGGCTCAGAAAATGTAAGGCCCTGGATGTGAGCTTCACCTGCCCCTTTTCACCCCCTTAATCAGGGTTACCTCTTCCCTCCTAGATCTGGCCTCATGTACAGCTTTTGTAAGTAAAAAATATCACCATGACGAAATTGTTATCATGGAAGCATTGTTTCTAACGTCAAGATGAATGAATCAGATTATAATTTATAATAATAATAATTAATAAAATAGTTTATAAATATGAAATACAAAAAACTAAAAAGAATATAATATTTTTCAGTAAAACTATGTAATGTAACAGATCAAACGAATAAGGCTTGTTCTAATAAAAAAAGTTGGAAACCATTAGTTCTGGTGATACCGTTACGTCTCGGAATAAGCACTATTAATCCTGCTTATGTGCAAGGCGTTAAAGTAAGTAAATACTAAAAATAATGTAAAAACTACAAGAAAAGTTATATTTAAGACAAAAGTTTCCCTACTAAACTATATTGAATTTTATTAAATAAAACACTCGTATATTTGTCGAGCTGAAAATAATTATTTTTAAATTAAAAAGTTGTAAGAACGTATGATTTGCACCTAATATTATTTGTGCAATCTAAATGTATGTGTACATTTTAAACAGAATACACAGAGGTAACTCAGAATAAAATGAGTAATAATAACAATATTATTATTATTTATTAGTGTTTAATAATAATTTTTTCAAACATCTGTTTTATGTTTTTAGATGTGTTTCACTTTTTCACAATCCTTGGGAATAATCGGTGGAAGACCAAATCATGCTTTGTATTTTATAGGCTTCGTAGGTAATTAGTGTTGATAAAGGGAAATATATAATAATAATGGTAACGATTATAAAATTTATAATCAATTCTATTATTAAAATTTAGGTAATGATGTGATATTCTTGGATCCTCATACGACCCAACAAATGGGAATGTTACCAAATAAAGATATCGAAACTGAACTTAAAATTGATAACTCGTACCATTGCCAACAAATCAATCGGCTTCCGATACTTAATATGGACCCGTCAATTGCAGCTGTGAGATAATAATGTTAACATTAGTACATATTATACATGGATTTTAGTTTATTTTTTATTATTTTAGTGTTTTTTGTGTAAAACCGAAAATGAATTCCATTCATTATGTCACGAGTTAAAAGTGCATCTAGTGCAGTCTGATCAAGGGTCGCAATCGCTTATTACGATATGTAATGATCGTCCATTCGATTGGACGTTAGACAGTACGTCGAATTTAGGCACCTCAATGACGGCTTCATCATCTGATGCTGTCGCGGCAACACTGTCAGGTATGGATGAAAAACTGACTTTTTTATTATTTAACATATCGTAGTCGCTGCGAAAAAAACTCCCATGTGCTAAAACCTAAATGTTCAGGAGACATAAAAACTTGTAAAACGATTTATAGTAGGTAACACATGAAAGTTGTATTTTTCATTGGAGATTATGATAGCTTATTTTTTTCTGTATCCAGGGATACCAAAACCTTAAAAAAGTAAAATTGGCACATAGGAAGTTTTTTGGGTCAATGACGATATCTTAAACAATGGGGGCTTAATGACATTTTACATACAGCGATCTGCAAAAGTTAAATTGATTAATTTTTATGATTGATTTGTTTTTAGATTTTGAGTTAAACGATAAAAAATTACAAACGGATTCAGATGACGATTTTGAACTTTTGTGATACGGACATTATCCCAGCGCAATGTCAGAATTGAAACTTAGGACTGTATTTAAAAACACGATGGGCAGCGCTTTTTTGTATTATGCAAGTTTCATATCAATATAAATAAATGTTTGAATAATACTCGTACATGCGTAATTCTTAGGCATTTTTTTTTTTTTTATAGTAAATAAATTCGTTTTATTTGTAAAAGTTTAAACTAAAAACCCAATCAATAGTCATATGTCTGTTTGGTAAAGATATTAACGGTGCATCGCCAGTGATGTAATTAAATTTGATTTATTTTATTATTATAGTTGTTAGTTTTTCATTTTGTATTTTATCACTATCCAATCTGTGTTCTGCCATTTTTGCCTTTAGGTAGTTGAGTGTAATATCTTTTTTTATTATTATAATAATTATGATTATCTAGTTAAAATTGGGTCTTTACGTTCTTAAAGATATAATATGTCCATATATAATAGTATTGAGTATAAAGTGTACAAGTTAAACTCAATGATAATAGTCATACTTAAAAACAAAAAAAAATATTAACGAAATTCAAAGTTACTTTTTTTGATTTTATTTATTTAATTATTATATAGCCTACTTACAAATCGTTACTTATGTTTTTTTTTTTTTAAATATAATATTTTATTATTTGTATTATTGTTGTAACATATATATTGTGTACTTGCATCAAGTTACGAGTGAAATAAAAATATATTTGTAATATATAAAAAACAATTTTAATAAATGTAAATAATTATAAGAGCAATAATAAAATACATATTATTTTATAAATTGAATTTAATGACATTTTTTTTCGAGTCTATTAAAATAAAATATTATGTAAATATTTTAACCCCTTTGGCGCAAAAATAATACATTAACAATAAATGGAAACTTGTGAATAAAAAAAAACAAATAATGTAGAAAAAATGTTCAATTGCCGGGTTGGCGCATTAAGTACAAAAGCAAGTTTGTGATTAATTGCAGTTAATCATTTTGTATTCTATTTAGGTATTTAGCCCAAAGATTTGTTTGTGTAATAATAATTATAGTACTTATATTAATTTAGTCATTCTTAAATATTTATCATAGTATAGTATTGTTACATATACTTAGTTTTGTTAGTAGCCAAACTAATTGGATCATAATTTTCATAATTTATATGGTAAAGTTTATTATTTTTGCTTTATGAAATTTACAATTTTACTCATCCAGCAAAACAAATATGTATGTTTTTAAAATGAACATTAAATTTGTTCAGTTAGTTGAAGAGAACAATTCAGTCAAAAAAAATTTATTTTAATCTTTTTTTGTTATGTGTAAAATGGTTGTCCAAATCTGATCATATTTAGTTTTGGAATTTTTTTTTTTGTTATCAAGTAAAATCTTTTTCCCCCCAAAAAATGTATCCAGACTTGATTAAAATATTTTACTTACTTGGTACAATATTTTAACGAGATCTTAATAATTGATTTCATGCCAAAATGTGTTTTAAGAATGGCTATTCCCTAATTTACCGACAGACGACGCTGGTTTTAAAGGCCTCTAAAATTTGTTAAGAAATAAATTTACTATGTTTAATGTAAGTTAAACACATTTACCTCGATCTTGGCTGTGCTTAGTGAACGTTGAAGTTGCGAGGACACTCTTACAAATGGGTTCAAATTAAAGTAAAAAAATAACAAAAACAGAATTCTATTTGGCTTGACCAGTTTGGTAGTCTGAAATCGACTGTCGCGACTGAATTAGCTCTTGTCGCGTTCTATTGTTTTTTTTTTGTCTACTTTTTTTGGCCCTTCCTATTAGGACTTATATTTTATGATCACCGGAGACGGTTTCCTAATTAAGAACAATCAATATGATTTTACCCAAAGGTCACGTGGGTCATGGCGTAAAATTACATTTTGGAATTCCTTCATTAAGCGTCGGCCCTTGAAAATATTTTTAGATGCGATTTCGAATTTTGTAACCCACCACGACGAGTTTCCACGCTGCAGACTTGAAACACGTATTTAGAATTTTTAATTTATTTTCATTTATTATAATAAGTGCGAATAATAATTATATATTGTAGTATTGCAGCGTTCGAAATAACCTATCTCGTTATTTTGATGCATATAACATCTATCAGCATCGTTGTCAATACATTTTAAACATAGTAATATTGTTAGATATTATACGTTCGAATGAGAAATTATTCAGCTTATCCGACGATTTTTTGTTGTTTCCAAAATTCTTCTCGGCTGTTCAAAAAGTGTATACCGTCCATGGCTTCGGCCAGTATTTGATTTTTGTTGTCTCGGACGGCGCTGACTATGTCTGGAACAGTGTTTTATTCATTTATATAAATAACATATATTTTACAGAAGTTTAGTGAAAATGATTTCCTTAGTTCTAAATATTTGAAACCAAAACGTCAATTTTCACCTATGTTTTGATCTTTTCAAATCTTTATAATTGTAAAAATCCGTATATTCTTACGACATCATATCTATAAGTATTGTTTGGTAAGTGTTAATTTTTTTATCTCCCTCCCCATTTTTAAAGAATTAAAATCGGACTATAATGGTATACCTACTTGTATATTACATTACATGTCATATTATATTCTTACAAAACTAATTTCTTTACTTTCTATTTTTATTAAGGAAATAATGATGTATGGAGGTAATAAAGCGATGGTATGATGTATGATGTGGACATAGAGACTACGGGTAAGCTTTTTCAAATCATTGGTGTTGGTGTTTCTGTATTGATAGCAAGTAAAAAATCACAGTGACTTGCTTACTCGGATCGGTTGTCAAGTGTTCCAGATAGTCTTTGTCCACGCACAATTCCCTGAGCAACAGCTTCGACTGACTTTTTGCTTCTTTTCTGGGAGTCGATCCCCGTTTGATTGGGTTTCCTTCGACGATGGCAACCGCGCCGAACTTGTCTTTCGGCAAGTCTTTCATTTTACCTGAGAACAGATAATATAATGTTTTCAAACCGTCTTTATGTCAGTCTAGAGGTTAGCTAGCATGACGCCGCTCACTGATGGCGTTTTCGATGGCTTCTCTGGCTTTTTGCACGCCCAACCGAAACTGTTCGAGTTCGGGTCGCACGTGCAGTCCTCGGTGGTAGAACACAAGAGCGTGTTCAAAGTCACCCAAGTGGTACAGGGCTTCTGCTTTTTGATAGATGGCTAAACAATACAATATGCGGTTATCCGAAACCCTTTAAGAAATAGGACAGGGGAGGACCATGGTAAAATTATTGTTGTTTTTAAAAAAAAAAGCTATTCCCTGCGTGGATGCACAGTAACGTCCAAAGGTTAAAAAATGTCTGGACTACTGTAATTTTGAAATTGTTCGTAAATTAAATCGCCTTAAAATACCTTTCAAGTACGTGCTGTCCTCTTGCAGAGCTACTTCGGCGTCCTTCAACGCCAGCTGCGGTTGTCCTAGAAGTAGATAACATTTGCTCCTGGACACCAATGCCGTTTTGTCATTGGGACTTAATTCTAACGCCTGTAAACACGAATAAACCGTTTCAGTTTAGAGTTTTTGATTGGTAATACATTAAAAAAATCATACGTGTTAGACGTTTGAGGGCAACGTCTTGACGACAAGAGTCTAGAGCAAGGGTCATTCGTAGGATATTACAAGTGCAACACATTTATAATATAACTATTTTATAATAGTTAGATACAGTAACACAAAATCGTTTCTAAGTATCCACTGAGATTTTTTTCAAATACTTCACAATTTTATAATTTTCTTTTATCGCAATTTTGACTTTTTAAACACAGCGATGAAGTAATACATTTAATGCAAACAATAAAAAGTAAAGATGTTGAAAACATCATTGATTGTCGTTCTCATCAGTTAGGCAAAACATTTAAATGTAATCACCCATTCTAGAGGAGTTGGAGCCCACCATTACCGATTGGTCTAATCATAATTTATTTAGGTATAATTAGGGCAAACACCTGACTAGAGAATTGGCCCAGTCTGGCTCTGGATATAGTTTTAGACTATTAACTTAATAATATTTAATTGTACATAATGTTTAAGCTAAACTGGCGAGGACCTGCGTAACCGGTAAGCGGGTCAAACCTTGTCGATAAAGTCCAGCGACACCTTGACGTCGTTCATGCAGTGCCTGGCCAACGCTAAAAGCGTGGGCGATTCGGCAGTGGATGGTATGTGCAATGTCCGGTTCCGGTCTTGGCGGCGCTTCATCCGCAACGACGCCTTGATGTCCCTTGTGCCCAGGTTGACGGCGGCCGCGCGGTCCTTGTCCGTGTACACTTCTTCCAGCAACCGGGACCGGGAATCGCGCTTGTGCCTCCTTCCGGCCAACAGGCTCCCGACGCCGCCCAGCGTTCCGGTTCCTACCGATCCTCTTGCGCCACCGCCACTTCCGCCGGTCGTCTTGCGCGTCTTGAACTCTTCCGTCAACTCGTTGAACGTCGTGGTCACCGGGCCCGCCTGCCCGCCGTGCCTCCTCAACTTTCTCCGACCCGTCCCTTTACGCTCACCAACGCCGCCAACGTTCCCCCCGGAACCGCCGCCGTGTTCTACGCTGAGCCCCCCAACGCAGCTGACACCCGATCCCCTGTGACCGCGGCCGTGGCTCTGGTCGTCGTCCAAGTCAGCTCCGTCCTCGTCCTCGGCTTTGCCCACCCTTACGTAACTCTGCATCATCTCCGAGTCTCTGGTCATTTGCAATATGTCCTTGACATGTTCGCTGGCCGGCAGTATGTCACCCGACGTGTCGCCCATGGCCGCCATCGTTCCTGTTATGTATCGGTTCAGGAAAGCTTTCACAAGTTTACATTTGTATTGTAGTGTTTGAAATATTATTATGGAATACAATATTTTTAAATATTTAAAATGGGTCAAAGAAGTTAAATTGTATACAAATAATGACTAAACTTCTTAGCCAAGTCCTCGAGTGTCTGCCAAACAGATTTAAAAATATTTTGATTGCCATAAAGTTGTTAAGTTCAGGTTTAGGCCTGTTGAAAGAAAGGAGGAAAGTGAAATAGTACAAGGAATTCGAAAAAATACTGCTGAGTGAGTGTAGGTACAAATAAAAACATGAGGTGTGCGTGGAGTAAATAAAACAATATCAATTGATACAGATGAGTCAACATTTTTTTCTTCTCATTTCAACCATAATTTAGGTTACGAGACAAAATTGCTTTAGATATTTTTATCACCTAAAGATACTTAAATTATTTTTTTAATTATATTATTATGAAGATATGATTTTAATCGGATATGAGCCGGAATAACTAAGAACTTCCATAAAAAAAAACACTAATTTTAGATTTCTTAAATTTCTGAAACGCTTTTTGTACTTTTTAAAAACACTATTCAATAAATAGTAGTATGTTACAATGTGTATGATTGAATGATGTTAATTGTTTAATGTTTAGTATGACTCGTAACTATAATACAGCAGTTTTAAATTGGCGTGATATTTAGCTCTTAAATAGTGTACCTAGTGAAAAGTTAAAAATTTAATAGTTTGCGGTTTTATGATACATTATGATTATGTTAGTTGTGATAAAAATAATTAGTTGTCCAGTGCCAGCATTCCTTAAAATTATTATGGTAGTATAAACTTTTGATTTTCAAATAAAAGGACCTAATTCTTTTTCTAATCACTGAAACAATTGTGAAATATTTTATAATATATTTTTAGACTAGTAAATATTTTAATTGGCTACCTCTTAGCCAGACTAAGAATATTCTGTACAACATACCTAACCTAACCATACGAGTATTTGGGGTTTACATCAGTAGTTATCAGTATTGCTTTTTGCATAAAGACATAGAGGTTTTTTAGAGTAGGTTGATGAATGTTAAAAAAAAAATAAGATCTTCATTGTACTGAAACCTTTTTAACGCTTGTACCGAAAAGTTTGGCAGAATAAATTAAGTTCTCATTATGGCACCAAAGAATGATTGCTCGATTCCTTGCTAACGAAGTGTCAGTACTTTAAGTAGCCATGTACTAAATAATATAAGTTTTAATCCCCATCATACTTGTGTGAAGTTGTACATAGACCACACGGTTTGAATTGACTTGGCCAAGCGAAACGAATGTGTGTGTTTTTAACGGCTCCAAGCCAAGTGCAGGTGCGACTTACGGTGATTACACTTTACCCTTTCAGTGCTTGAGACTTCTGATTGATGTGGGCAAGTATACAGACCAGCATGCACTGGACACGGTTTTCTTTTATTCTCAAAGGATACGTTGCGGTTACTTGAAAACAATCTTGTGCTCGAAAAATGGCTGCCGGATGTAAGTACGATTCGGCATACGTGTGACTAGCGTAACACTTAGCAGAGACCCGCCACACACGTAGGTATTCGATTCAACACCTACTCGGATAACCATAGTAACCGATTTGGTAACCTCTCGCCCTAAAAAACACCTGCACCAGACTAGGTCGAAGGGTGTGTGCTTTTTCTTTTATTGAAAATAGGTAAACTGTGTGTATGTGATCGATCTGAGCTTGTCAGCTACCGGAGAAGCCCAAGAGGAGGAGGACATGGAGAAGTTTGCAGAGTCTTTTGGATACAATTGGATTATCGCAGTAATTAGTTCCAGTAAAAGTTTTGTAAAGCCCAAACTTTTAAACCGTTTTCGCTTTGCACAATTATTTTTTTTAGAAATGACTTGTTTATTTCAACTTACAAACTGAACCATACAAATATAAAAATGGTATAAACAAATTTGATTTAAGTAACGTTAATAATAATAATAGTAATAGACGAGAGGTGACCGCCTCGTTGGCGATAGACATTAAACACTTCATCGCCCATCGGCTCATTATTCATGTAGTTACTTTTAAATTGGGGAATATGAGAGGACATAAATGAACGGAAAGAATATTGAGGAACTATAAAGTCAATAAGATAACAGGAGATTCTATAATGTTGGATAGTAGACCATTTAAAAATGTCATACGTAATATATGTCCACGGTCAGCTAGAGAAACTAAATTAAGATATTTTGCGAATGGAGCCTAGTCACGAGGAAGACGCGAATTGTCCAAAATAAAACTAGCATACCTCAAAAATGTACACTGGACTATCTTAATCTGAAGTAAACCGTTGGCTGTGAGAGGGTCACTCTAGGGCGCAAAAGAATGTAAAATCTTTGGCCACTCTCATGATGAGCCCATAAGAATTTTTAATGCTTTACAGCATATGATATCAATGTGAATGCTGAGTTCCAGAAAACAGCTGAACTTAAAACTAATATATATATATAATATATATATATATATGACAGAACAATTTGTATGCAGATGTTCATAACCCAAAAGATGATAATAATATAGTATTAGGGTTCGGCCTCTATTGAACGTCATAACTCTACATTTAGAAACGTTTTTAGTAACAGACTTAAAGTGAACTGAACAAAACGATAAAAATAATTTTGGAGATTATGACAATCGCCTAATTAGTTACCCGCATATAGATTTTTATGTTATCCACAGAAAGGGAATATAACAAAAAAATACTGCAAACATGGTTGATAAACAGTAAAACTAGAAGTGGAGGCAAGTGACTTCCTTGGGGTACACATCAGATGATGCTGAAAACACATTCGATTTAAAACCGAAGACTTTAACCTAATCATGATTTCTTGAAAGGATTTGAACCACGATAAGATAATCTTGCCGAAATCAGATTTTTTTTAAGAAATTTGATGAGAACGCAATGATTTATATAATCAAACACATTGTTAAAGTCCGTATAAACAGCATCAACTTGCAACCTTAACTGAAAAGTTCATTTACCTACAAAATTAATAAAAACTAGATAGCATGTGGTGGTGGAGCGACCATGCTGCTCCTTCATAATGATTATGTTGACGGGTAGCTGAATGCGTTTTAAGTCCAAGGCTTTAAACTGAGGTTGAAAAGATGACCGTTATGTTTCAAAGAGGGTTTTGAAATAAAGGATTGGTTTTTAACATTAAACTTATGCTGAAATAGTTTATACTTGCGAGCTAATAATGAAGAAAATATTAATATACAAATCTTATTTTAGTAAATGAGTAAATTTATTTGTGTCAAAAATTTAACAAGTTTTAAAAAGTGCAAAGAACAAGAAGATTTTGATCCGAATTTGATGTGTGGTTGTAAGAGAATAAAAATTATACATTTTTGTTCTCAGTTTTTTAAATTTCTATTTCCAATATACTATATACTATTATTTTTTGCCCATAACGAAAAAGTTTCCATCCTTTCTGGAGTAAGCCGTAAGGGCAAGAGTATTTACTTGTCTTCTAAATTCTGTTGGTAAATATATCGATAGTGCTACATTTAATAAATAGCATTAAAACATACTTCGACAATACTTTGGAATACTAAGGCGTGCCGCATTTTATCAGCTCATAAAAATTTACACTTTAATATCAATTTGGCTGAGAAATAAATTAGGTTATTTAAATTTCGGTCAAAAACGTACCATTAATATGCAATGTATAGACTAGCATACTTTAATACTAGGAAAACATATCTATACACGGATAGTTATTAGTTTATTGTTTATTATTGTGATTTGTATCTTACATTTTTTAAATGATATGGAAATCTCTTTAATATTGTTCATAGAGTCAAGCTCTTATGTCTGAATAATTGTACTGATCGACTATCAAGAGTGATGGCTTTTCATCTTTTTTAATAATATTGTAGACAACTAAAAACCTATTTATATGTACATAATACATGCACATGGAAATTGCCTATTATATGGCAGATAACTCTGAAATGGCATATTTATGACAATATGACGTGTAGACCTGATTTGTTTTATTTACTTTATGTTTAAAAGCAATTCACTTTCATCGAAAACCGAATTAAAAGTTTTAGGAATATATATTTTATTGCTGGTAAAAAGAACAAAAGTAGTTTTATTTGCATAATATTATCTTGGTTAGGTATACCTATATTTTATTTTTGTGTTAAAATTAACCATTCATTTGGAAACTATAATAGCGTTTCTTCCAAATAAACATTTTTTAAAAGTTATTATTTTTTTTAATTTGATATATAATATAAAATACTCTGACACAAAGTCGTACAAATGAACTTCTATGTAATACAAAACATGTGCCTATATTATATTATCTATTATTTAGTATTACAGTGAATAGTGACAAAACAATAGCCAATTATTTCAGTTTTTTTGGAGATTTTACTATAATTGGGCGCTGAATACAATATATGTGCTATAAAAAGTAGATTAAAAATTAGCACACTGAGTATTAATAAAGAGTGCATTGATTTGTAGTTAATGCCAAACAGCAGTACATAAGATTAAGTACTTAATAAATTGGAAACAAGACCAGGGTTAACCGTTTCAGTGGATTTTTTATTTAAGTAATCCAACAAAAATTGTTAATACAAGTATTATATCAGAGGCATTTAGTAAACCTAAAAGTAAATTTCATGCAACGCTGTCTTAGTAATGAGAACACCTTATTTGTATACTTATGATAGGTACCGAATATATGTAAACAAATCAGGGATTTTTATAAAAACAAAATAGTGATAAGTATTTTCTTAAGAAAAGTATTTTTCATGTAATATAATTATCTATATACAAATTTGAAAAAATATTATGCGATTGTGTAATTTTTCATTAAAATTACAAAACTCAATCTCTAATTAAATACAATACATTTTATTTTACAAAAAATGTAATTTTATTGTCTTAACAATTATTTTTTATTAATATTCAAACTAGGTACTATTAACGCCATTACATTTTGATATAAGACGAACTTACTTATAATATCATATTTCTTAGATGATAATAATACATTAACATAAACGAATACTTACCGAAGTATATTGTTGAATAGCTTTTGCATAGTTTTCAAATTTGCAGTAGACAAACGCTTCGTCTTGCAGCAAAATCCTGAGACTGTCATCGGGGTTTATAGTATTTGTTTTTTTCTTCTTCGACTTGCCCTTTTTCTTGTTGTTCATACTGAAACCAGTATTTTATATTATCACGTGGTATAGTTTTTGTTGATAATTTACCCACACAACTTAATTGTATGTTTTAAAACCGATAATATTTTTAGTAATGTCCAAATATGTTTATATCATGTTTGGAATTCGAAAAACTAAAATATTAATAACGCAAAATATGCTTCAGTAGTATTTGTTTCTTAAACAATTCAAACATGTAGGACTTAATAAACTTATCAGTAGGTAAGCAACGAACATTATAATATATCCTACTTCCTAGGAAATATTAAAATGATGTAAGGACTAACTAATATTTTATTTTCCCTTTAAATGTGATAACATAGCATCAATAATAATTCTTATAATAATTTAATATATTATTGTATCCTTGCTATGTAAACTTGAATTTTGTCTAAAAAAAATTGTTTATTTAATAAAATAATGACACATGGCACAGCAGTTGGTGTGAGGTAATCATAGATGGAAATTAGTTCTTTAAACTCTGGTCCTAAACAAAAGAGTGGTGCAAAATAGGTGATTTAATAATTGTCATCTTATAAAATATATGGGGACAATCAATAAATTGTACAACATAGCACTAATATTTAAAACTATTTTACACCTATAAAATTTGTGCCTATGTTTTTACTTGACTAAAACAATAAATGCATGTATCTCTTACTTTAGTAAATGGTCTGGCCACTATATTCCAGAAACGGACAGTTATTGACTACATCATTCTTTGAAACCATGCGAATATTTTGTACGTTAAATATTTTTAAAATACATTCAATACAATAAATAAAAAACGATTAAAAATATTCTTGGTACTTCGAATAGCCTTAAGAGAGTACACGTTCATGTTTATTACAACTAATGTGGTCGAGTACCTACTAGTGTACGACGGGTTAAAATTATTTTCTGTTAATTACCGTCTTCCTTTGTGAATCGATAATCAGGCGACGAGGACAATTACTATCGGTATTGTCTTGTATAGACTCCATTGTGTTTGGATGTAATAACAATAAGTTCTTAACGCCGCCGTACTTTGTCTTACTATTCGGCTAAGCACACTCACGTATATTATATAGGGTGAAGGAAGGTATTTTCGTGGCATAAGCAATTTTGTGTTATAGTTTGTTTGATCGTATCGCGTAATTCCCCATTAGAAAATTGTCTTGAAAATCACACTGATTGTTAAAATAACAGTTATTTTACACTCGGTATCATACTAATATTATCAAGAAATATTTAGTTTAATGTAATGACCGAGACACGTATCTAGTTGCGTTAAGGAACT